ACATTAGATAAATACTCCTTTACATTTCCATGTTTCACACCACACATGCAAGAATAAATGAGATTCAAGAGAAAAAACATGATTCAAATTTATAGAGACCATCACATAATTTTCAGAACCCACAACTTCCTTATTATGAAATAAGGACAAATTTCCATTGCCAAAATTAAAATTAAAACCACAAATATCTAATTTGGTTACTAAAATAAGATTCATAATTGTTGGCGCATAAAAAATATCTTTTAGGTCCAATACAAAATCACCATCTAGAATTAATCTAACTACTGCTATCGCCTCTATTTCTGCTTCAACTCCATTTGCCATCACAAGCCTCTGTTCCCCACCAATAAGCTTTTGGCTATCGATGAATACATGCATGGTGTTAAATGTGAGTAGAGGCCACCAGGTATCAATCCACAAAGTATTTGAGGGAACATCAACTAAACAAGATTCAAAACTCATGCAGGAGAAAATAATTACCGAAATAATAACAACAAATAAATAAAATAGTTGAGAGAATATACGCTTTCTCAAGGTCTGCAAAGGACTCCACCCCAAAAGGTTGAGAGACTATACTCTCTCTCAAGGTCTGCAAGGGAATCCACCTCAAAAACGATCTTTTCACAAGATTAACTTTACTCAATTAAGATCTTTTCACAAGATCCACTTTTCTCAATTCAGATCAAGATCAATTTTATTTGATTCTCATTCTCTGATCTGTTTACAATGAAGGACCACTTCCTTTTAATTACACTTCAAATAAAATAAATAAATAACTATAAAAAGAATCCCAAATAAAATAAAATCCCAAATAAAATAAAGTCTCTCTCTCTCTAAAAAGCATGTACTTCCCCTATCTTTCTCTTAATCTCTTTTCCCTATTTTCTCTCACTTTTGCTCTCTCTCACGTACTATCCCTATTTTCTTTCTTTCTAACGTCCACATTAGAGTAAAAGATAACTACCACTTATTATTTCCTAAACCAAAAGATCTTTACTTTATCTATGTTACTCCCTAAACTAAAAAGATAGACCTTCCCAAAATAAATCACATACCCAACTAGGCCCCCTTAACTTATCTCTTCCTATCCCTAATTACAAATAAAAATTAAATAAGCTCCAATTTTTATTTGCATCATTCTCCCCAAGTTGGGAGAAGCTCAACCTTGAGCTTATAGAACTTAAATATTTTAGAGGCCTTCTTGAAAGTTGGTGATGAAGTCCCACCATTCTCCGTGGTATGTTTTCTTCAATTTCCGACTCATTAATCAAAGGCTTTGTGCTTTTCTCGAAGTGGAACACTGAGATATCAAGCTCCATCTTGATTTCTCCTTCAGACTCACTTAGTTGGATTTCAAATACTACACCACACATCTTCTTCTTCATATTTGATTTTCAAAATTTCTTCTTTTTCTTCACAATTGATATTTGTAATTTCCTGCCCATCTGGGCTATCGACGTCGCCTTTTGTATCAAGATTTATCTCTTCATATTTTTCGTCCTCTTGTTTCGATTGTAATATATGAAAGAAATCTCGTAGACCTTATTCTACTAGTTTGCTAATGCGCTCTATTAGGTCTTCTTTGAGTCTCTCAAATCTTTGATCCAATCGTTGCAACCGCTTATTAATGTCATGAACTTCGCTTCGAACATCTTCCATAATTAGATCACAAATCTCAAGGCTCTCCATATCAGCACAGATCTTACGGCTCTGATACCAACTGGTGCAAGAGAAAATAATAACCAGAATAATAAAAACAAATAAATAAAATAGTTAAGAGAATATACTCTCTCTCAAGGTCTGTAAGGAATCCACCTAAAAGATTGAGAGAATACCCTCTCTCAAGGTCTGCAAGGGAATCCACCCTAAAACGATCTTTTCACAAGATCAACTTTTCTCAATTCAGATCAAGATCAATTTTACTCAATTCTCATTCTCTGATCCATTTACAATGAGGGACCTCTTCCCTTCAAATACACTTCAAATAAAATAAATAAATAACTACAAAAAGAATCCCAAATAAAATAAACTCTCTAAAAAGTTTGTACTTCCCCTATCTTTCTCTCAATCTCTTTTTCCTATTTTCTCTCACTTTTTCTGTCTCTCACGTACCATCCCTATTTATTTTCTCTCTTTCTAACGTCCACATTAGAGTAAAAGATAACTACCACTTATTATTTCCTAAACCAAAAGATCGTTACCTTATCTATGTTATTTCCTAAACTAAAAAGATAGATCTTCCCAAAACAAATCACGCACCCAACTAGGCCCTCTTAACTTATCTCTTCCTATCCCTAATTAAAAATAAAAAATAAATAAACTCCAATCTTTTCCAACCACTTCTTATATTTGAGGCCGTCTCTCTTCAAATGCCCCTTCATTATGCAACAATAGCATTTTCTTTCCTTTCGATTATTTTATTTCTAAATCGAAGTAGCAGACCCTTTTGGTTGATAATTTACAGGCTTCTCAGTACCTTTATTTTCTAATGCTCTAAAGGGTCGTTTTCTGTCTGAGCTAGCTAAATGGACAACTTCTAGTTTGTTTTGATTTAATCTTTTTCTCTTCTTGAACACGCATAATTTGAACATCTTTCAAATTCAACTTTCTTTCTGAATATTATCACCGAGCTTGAATTGAGCATACTACGCAAGCAAAGAGTTGAGAATGAACTGAAGTAGAAAACCCTCGGGATCTTCATGTCTATAGACTTCAAATGATTTGTGATATCAATCATTTGCATAATATAGTTCTAACAGAGCCCTGACCATCATACCACATGATCAACAACTTTGCCATAAGGATGTCTGTTAAGACTTTAATAAGACCTACAAATTGTTCATGTACTTTGCTCATGAAACTCTTAGCATTATCTTCATCAAGAATAGCACCTCTCTTATTGTAAGGTTTAAGAGGTTCATCTTCACATAAGGCATAAATCAAGATACAAAATGCCTAGAGGGATCTAAATCTCTATTTCCAATCCGATCAATTAGATCCATTCAAAATTTTAATTTGGCTAAGTATCCAGTAAGTGCATAGGGATTTAGGGCTGCCATAATTTTCAAAATTGTATTTACCGATAAGATTAAGCAATAAGATTCAATAAAATATTAAAATCAAGTGTTTTTAGTGACCGATGTATTGTCACAACCCCTCTTTTGCGTTGAGATTGTGACATGCAAATGGCCTCTTGTTCGTGAAAATCATTCCTCATGTCCACCATAGAGCTGGTTGATCATAAACATCATAGATGTTGAAGACATTACTCCTTCATATTTATCGCCTTCTTAGTCTATAGTGCTCACACCAACTACCCTATTCAGCCAAGCTCGCACAGATAAAATGAAAAACCACCTTTGGGTTTGATTTCTATATGTAACGGGTCAAAACTAATTTGTGGGCTCCATGATGATTCACAGAAAAACAAGGATGGAATAAGTGTTTTCTCAACTAAGCGTCACCGCTTATGAAAACTTGTACATGAACAAGCCAACCATAGCTCTAATACCACATGTAAAATAACTAAATATTTACAAGCTTAAGAAACTGAATAAACATGTAACTTTTCTTGGATCGTAACTCATAATTGCTGAAAAACAAGAATGCAAATCGACAAATCTAAACATAACAGTCATCATGCAGCGAAATAAAGCAATTTCTAATTTTGATCTCAAATGGGTGAACCAACCTTTACCTCTTTTCTCCTCCAAACTTAGAGAGTGAGCAAGAGATAGGTCCACACTATACATATCTTTCTTTTCTGCCTAACCCCAACCCATCATAGGGGAAGAGAGAGCGGGGAGGAATGGATACCAATGATGATCCTTATCTTTAGATAAGATAATCATCTCACTTAAATTGTGAATAATATTACCTTTTAAATTATTGTTATACCATAACTTAGAAGAATTTCTAACAGCGTTTGGCAACTTCGAACGGAGGAATACAACTTTTGCAAAACTATATGCAGAACGATATGTAATAGCATTTTGCTGCAAAAAAGCTTGAATTTTGTAATAGTTATGTTTTACACAAAAAACGAGACAAGACAATTTTTAAGGGGTACAGCTCCCCACCAAAATCTTTTCGTTAATTATCAAATTTTGGGGATTTATGTTACTACTCGCCTATTGTAGCATTTGTTGTTTTTTTCATTGCTTCGGAATACGAGGAAAGATAAAAAACATTTACCTGCAAAGCTTCTTATAAATGACTCGCACAAAAGTCTTAGCTAGTAAGGTTTTTCTGAGAGGAAATGTTCTAGCTCTGCATATGGAGCAATGGACCCCATTGGGCATATTCTCTAGTCAAAGATGTAATAGCCTTTGGAAGCAGGTAGAATGGACCAGGCCCCTCTATCCTTGAATAGCTTTATGCTTGAGAACTAGTACTTTGCATTCTACTTTAGTTGGAGGACGTACATTTAATTAGAAAAAAGCTTATATAAGGTTGCAACCGGTGCACCTGAAAAATCCATCATAAAAGGTGGTTTTGATGTTGAAAAGTATTTTAATTGATCATCTCGACATCGAAATGTATGATCATCTCAACATCAAGATATATGAATATGAAAAGAATAAAAGATATCGAGTCTCCAAAATAGTGTATCTTGCAACATTATTTGAACGTCTGTTTTCAAGATTTCCATGTGTTTGTGGAGTGTAAAATCTTATACAAAAAATAGATTCTAAAGTCATCCTAAGAATTTTTGACACCATAATTATATTTATGATAAAATTTGGAGGTGCGTCTTAATTTGATTGTTGAAGGTTGCAACGTTATGTAAATCACACCCTTCAATTAAAGCCCACATACCTTAAATGTCTTCATTTTATTTTTCTCTATATTCTTTATGCACTAAAAATTTCAAAGTTTAGAGGGATTTGTGAAGCTTCAAAGAATTCCCCATAATTCTGGGGGACACAAGAATATCTGACTTGTGTAGTTCGTGCATGCAATCCGCTCGAAACTAAATTAGGTATGGTGCCAACAAATAATGAAAAAAAAATACTGCACAATTTACGGCACAAACAATCCACTATTCACAATCCAAAACAGAAAATGGAACTTACATACTGGAGAATATGGAAAATGAATTATCATATGCACACAAAATAGAAAACAAATATAAAATAATTCACAAGCATTTTTCACATACCAATTGATAACTAATGGAAGAGCTTGAAGTAGAGAATCAAAGGAATTGCCACAACAAGAACTGCAATTATGAAGCCAATGATCCACTTGTTTCTGCTCATTCTCCGTGACATGGCAGTAAGAATTTTCCTGCTCTTCCCAATATTATCATCCACGCCATGTAGCTGCAGCCAATTTTGAAAAAGAGAAGTGGGCAAAAGCTAAAATAGAAGAAAGGCAACAATTTCCTCTGATAACAAACCACTACATGCCATTCAAAATTTTTCTTTATGATGGGTTATTATATAGAATCAAATTAAAATAGACGTTTTGTTCAAAAGATCAGATCAATAGAGGAACCTTTGAGGTGATTCAATAAACTGCAACACCATCAATTCACTCTCTAACATAAGCATGACATCAGAAACAAGTGTAGAAAAACATACAGAGGCATAATAATTAACAGTTTTAAGTACCATCACTCATTTCAAGGGTAGATTATAAAATAACTCTCAGCCGCAACTGGAAGATTACCCTCACTGATTAGAGGATGTTATGATGAATGTTCGGGGAGATGGTTGCCATATGAATACAAATATTAAACAGGGCCAATCGCATTTACTCCTCTAAACAGGGCCAATGCCGCCTTTACTCCTCTTACACCATACACAGTGGTGTGTGTGCCACAATCACTACAGATTGCCATCTCCTTGACTTTCTTTCACTTGTTTTCTCATATTGAAAATCATGTTAAAATACATTAGAAAAGGCAGGTTGTTTTCT